GGATAAAAATATATGCAACTGTGAGTCTTAATTTCAGGCTGCAAAGCAACAAAATGTCATTATTTTAAAGGGGGGTAATTTTCTATACCACTATAGTTCAGGAACGCGCCCTCCAGCTGCTTAACAGTTGGGTCCCCATATGAGCGTCCTCCACGGGTCTGCTAGACGCATTTTAAGGAGAGACTTGGCTGGCTCCACAGTAGGAATGGACTATTTCAAACAAAACCCTCATTAAGTGGGCACAAGATAGCAAGTGCTTAGGAGGAATAAACATCCTATCAAGGCATTTCCAATCTTCTTACAGAAATAACTGGAACAGCAGGTGCAGAGTCAAGTCTTTGTAACCTTGGAATTCTGGACTTGCAAAGTGCTCTGCAGCTAACTTACCAGTCTGGAAAGTATAAAATGTGGAATCCAGTGACCAAAGGTCACTTCCAGGATCACCGTGCAATGCTACGTTTGAATTTTTTTAATAAACTACATTTTATAATGCCCTTTTTCAAACATAATTTATTATTATTATTACATAGTATTTATATAGCGCCAACAGTTTGCGCAGCGCTTTACAATATAAGGAAGACATTACAATTACAATACAATTCAAGACAAGATGGTAAGGAGGGCACTGCCCCTGAGGGCTTACAATCTAAAAGAGGAGGGGGAAATGATACATGAGGAGGTCGCTGTGTGGGGATGAATTATTTGAGAATGTGAAGGTTCAGTGGTTAGTTAGTGGTTATGAATGTAACTATCCACAAAATGAAATTATTTATCTTATTATAAACATAAAAGTACTGCAGCTGAAAAACACATTCATACCATAAATAGGAACTGATGTAACACCATATGGATCCACCAGGCTACTCTTTATATGACATGTTTCCTCTTCTACACATCTAGGGTGGGATCTGTATAAGGCAGAGGCACAGTGGCATACAGAAACCACCCTGGTGAAAAAGCAGCAGCCAGATGGACTCAGAAGGAGGCCATACCAAGTATTTCCAAACTGCAACTGTTTATTGGGAATAAAAGACCTAACGTTGGCTTACTGTGAAACTGATTTATAACGAAGGCTCCCTCCCAAAGTTCTTAGCCTGGTATATAAAGCTGGTAACATCATAGTTGGGGGCATACAAATATTTCCCAACCACCCTGAACAGCAAACCTACCCTTGCACCTTTGAATGTGTAAGCTCCAGGAGCCGAACTAACCGTTTACTACTTAGTGCACATGCTTGTTCAAGTTAACCAACAAAATCCTTTCAATGTTCTACATTTAAAGCCATTATAATCCACAGGGGTTCTTTGGGTCTGCCTCAAAATTTGTTTGCTCTAGGGATTTATGAAATGGAAAGTTGTGGTGTACAGTAAATACAGCATATCCACTGTCAACTATTATAACTCCAGCCATTGAATACTAGCCATTAGCAAGCCAGAAGCTGGGACCTTATCTAGAGAACCTTCTAGGATCACAAGGACCACTTTAATTCTCTTTACCAATAAGCCTTTCAAGGGCTGGACACCAAATACAGCGGTGAGGGAGCAATTTAATCCCAGGCTTTGTGGGGAGGGGGCGAGAACAAAGCCAGGTACAGGATGAAACTAATGTCAGGATGGGGGGGGGCCCCATTGCAATTTTTTTTTACTCTAACCGATTAGAAAATGTAGATCCAGCAACACAGAACTGGCCCTGTGGAGAGCTTATTTTCAATTCATTGTATGCAGAGTATGTAAACTGAAAAACACAAACTGCGGCCTAAATAAAAAAAAATGTAAACAGATTCTTCCATCCGCAGTAAACTGCATGGATGAGCGTGTTGTAACCGATAAAATTGACATCTGATACAGCTTTGATGCAAAGGTGTTCCTTGATATCCTGAACGGAATCAGCATGTGGCTGTTTGATACACAAATGAGGACCATCAAAGTGTTCTTGGGGCTGGACACTGATGAATGAACATCTGCCAGGACTGTCATGTCCTGGGGCAAGCCCGAGCCCCTGCTGGTATTTACTGCCCACACCTGTGTCAGCAGGGAAGCATATATGCTGGGATGGGGGCAGGGGCATATGATGGAACCTTCTTCCTGTGTGATCTACACTAACCTAGCTCACCAGCAGGAACAATGGTAACCTTGGGACAAGACAAGTCTTTCTGAACTCTACAATCAAGAATGTGATTCGCTGAGACCTCCCCGAGAGGAGTGTTCTGAGAACAGAGAAAAACCCATGGCATGTGTGAATGAGAGCGAGAGAATGGTGTAGCTAGCTCAAGTATCCTGACCCACTCCAATCCTTTTAATTGTAATTAGAATGTATGTATATCCCTATTTGTAAATAAACCCAGCACTTATTTAAGATTCAGTTGTTAATCAATAAGTTAAGGCACCCCTAAAGCAGAGCACATTCTACAGAGCGCATGTGCCACTGTCAGACTACCCAAACAGTGACGGCTGCCAATTGGCAGGATTTTCCAGCCAGGTCCTTTGATTTTCTGACTGCTGGATGAAAGGCTGCTGACAAGGCCACCCACTGAGCGAATTTCAGCTGGTTCGTCAAACCGGTCAAAATTAGCCATGTGCATGGCCACCATTAGTCAATGTTTCTATACATATCCACTGACTGAGTGTTCATGCAGTGTTGAAATGGCACAATATGCTATTAAATATAGCATGTTGGATGCAACAACCTGGGTTTAAATTTAAAAAGTGTTACTTTTAAAGTGCAGTTACTACTAACCAATCAAAATGTACTCTTCTAAAGTCAAATCACTTCAAGATAAATTCTCATTGGTTTTAACCTATATGGAAAGGTGTACTAGTGAGGTAGAACAGATAGCACCACAAAATGCAACCTACCTTAAACATTCCAGCAATCTAATTTGCATGTTCATACCGATAACACTGCAATTCCATTTTGTGAAAACATGGTTAAAGTAAAATACCCAGCTTATCTTATACTTCTCCTATGACCCTTGATTTTTTTTTACTTGTTTACATATGTCAGCACTTTTTACACAAAAACACACACAAAATCCTTGCAAATGTAGACTATGCCGTCTAGAATTTTAGTCTAATTTTCTTTGCAATACAACAGTTCACAGCCCCGAATGATTGGTAGCACCGTACCAGGTGATCTAAGCTACTTAGGTTCAGAGCTCATTAGCAGTAAGCAAAGCGGTATCCTTTTACTTAAAATTTGTTTTATTTCAATGACCTATTCTTATTGACTCATGGTAAGGATGCTTTTTAATGATATGCTCACCATAAAAGGAAATCTGTACTGAGAAATAGGAAGGCTACTGTTGCTAATGCCCATCATCTGCCTATCTCTGGCTTCAGTACTATGAGATGTTGACCTGGAACATGCAGATGAGAAAAATCAAAATGAAATAAGCGCTCCAAACCGGCATTCTTGTTTCAGGTGTGTAACATAGAAGCTACTGCGGACACTGGATTACCTGGACAGCCTGGGAAGTAATGCTGTCAGCAGAAGTGGCCTCCATACTGCCTAAAAGTTTTCTTTTAATTACTCAGTTCAAATGCAGACTGCATTAACTTAAAGTAAAAAAAAAGCTGAACCATAAGCACAAAACCATGCAGCAAAGGTGTTTCAATACATTTTAATTTAAATATTTGGTTGAAAAGCATAGCAAAACTTTGGGACAGGCAGACCTTAATGCATTAATGTGTGATGGAGACAGGCAAATATTTACCAGGTTTCTGAACATTTTATTGAGCAATGACAGATTCTGAAAAGGCCTTCTGCTGATGTTAGCATAGATATAATGCATTTCAAGAGAATCAAGGGCCTTGCAAATTATACAACAGGTCACAGACACCCAGATATAAGGTAAAGATGGGTGAATACAACTGAAACAACCAAACACAAAAGGACATACACGATTTTAACAGACTCATTGAGCTGATTAGTATCACACTCATAAAAAGTCGTGTTGGATCAAAGAACTTGGCAATTGTCGAAATGTAGCAAAATTATCTTTTGAAACCATAATACTGCAAATGTATTGTTGGGGTAAAGGGGGCTTGTTAAGATCTTACTACTTTTGCAGCAAGAAGCAAGTGACCATGAGCAAAAATGTAACTTGTTCAATTTTCAGAAGTTGGTATTGACACATAGGTGCTGCATGCAGAAAGCATTAAACACCTGTGCGTGAAAGTGTTCATGGTGGAATAAGTGCTAAGTGGGCCCATCTGGCAGGCAATACTCATGTACCAGACAGGTTTCTCCAATGCAACCCCTCACAGTCTCTGAAAACTGATACAGCTCACCAAAAAGGTCAATGTTTTAGAGAGCACACATCATCATGAATGTGATTTTTGGAGCCTGTGGTTATAGGCAATAATTGTATATAGCAGATTATGCACAACGTGTGTTATTAAATAGCAATGCAAAAGGCAATGATTTACAAAGAAAAAGGATCCAAAAAGATTAGTAGTCTCCAGCTGTTAGGGTAGTCAGACTGATTGAGTGTAATGCTAGATAGATAGCTAGAGAGAGCTATATATATATAGTGCCGTTTGCCAAATCATCCATATTTCACTGGCCACAAAGAAAGTGATTGAAGTAATGTAATCAATCAGTAGATGATCACACCTTTAAACTACAATACATGAGTAAACTGAGTCACTACAAAAAGGCACCAATATTACACACATTTAAAAAGGAACTCCAGGAAAAAACCTGCTCATCGGACAATCAGCAATACGTTCGTTGATGCTTATGATTGTTCAATGAGCAAGCAGATGACAGGGAGCTGCAAACCAGACAATAGGTGTACAACCTGCCTAGCTGTGAAATGTGATACAAGACAAGCTGAACAGCGTTACAAATCCTTGGCATTTCACATATGCATTTCATCTTTTTGCCAGGAGTTTCACTTAACCTGCAAGACGTAGACAAATTTTCCACATAAATGTCTGGCTTCTAGGTAAGTTGTTTCAATTAAGGTTTTTCTTCAACACCATTATAAATGAAGCTGTAAACTACCATTGTAGATATAAAATCAAGCAATGTTCATGGGTTTGTCTCCAATTAGGCAACTCTTGCTGCCTAATGACAGCCAGAATTAAAAATCAAGCCACCGTTTCAGATAGAAATGCATAGCTAGTATATAGTGATGAAAAAACAGCAGCACCCCAAAACAAAGCCAGCGTGTAGGGGTACCGCCATTTTTAGCAGAAAGTCTGGTATGGAGGCATCATGTGTTTTCTGTCTGAACAAGATAACAAAAAAAAAAAGGCAATGTGGAGAAATTTGACACATCAAGGGGAAAATGGTAAAACCTAAATTAAATGGCATATGCCGATATGATTTAAAAAAAGGAGAGAAGAAAAGCCATCTTAAGTTTGGCTTCCTTCTTGTCTCAAAACACCATTAAAGTTCTTTAAACACATTTACTGTTTCAACCGGTACTGTGTTTTGCTCTGTATTAACAGGCAGATAGACACTTATGTGAAAATCCCACATCTCCTTCAGGTACCTTTAATGTAAAAATGCCATTTATATCAACTAGCACAGACAATAGGGATATGCTAAGACAGAAAATGAGGACGTCCATTTTCTTCCAATCTCCTCGTAAGTATCTCACACCCGGTCTCTGTAACTAAAAGGGTGTGCTCAAACTGTGCGGACCGTTTTCCATCTCTTGTCACTGCAGTCCAACCATCGGGCCAGGTCTCATCCTGCCATCCGCCTATATAGTGCATGGAAGAGCAGAAGGAAAAATAAAAAAAAAGGAAGCATTTAGGAAGGCTGAATACAAATGTTTATTGGAATAAGTATAAGTACTGCATATTTATATGAATTAGGCAAAAGGACAATGAAAGCATTACCCATGGGAACCAGCTTATGTTTTCTTACTAACACAGAATAGAAGGAGGAATGTATGGGCACCACTGAAGCTTCTCTTAAGGAGAATTGTGCTTTACTGTTCCCTTCTCACTGCAACTCACCAGTCTGGTAAGAGTGGCCAAAAAACAACTCACTATGTCCTTTATGTAATTGATTAACTCAGCATATGTTCAACAGGGATAAAACAGAGGGGTGAAAACAAAGCCCATTGCGACAAAGACAACTTTCACAAGTTGGAGGTCATCTCTCTAATAAAATAAAAAGTGGACCCTGCCCAGGCAAATATATCTCACTAACAAGTACAGGCCAGTAGCTATCTGCATGTACTTTAGCAAGACACAGACCGCCTAAGATCTCTCCAAATCTGGATGACACATTAATGAGAAACCAGACTGGTGAAAACTCATTCCCTTTTGGTGCATTTAACCCTTTTGCTGACAAGCGCTGCATTTCACTTGTAACCTCAGCTGGCCACATGATTTTTGCAATTTCTCACTTTTTTTTGTTTTGTTTTCAACTGCAACTTTTAATGTTTGTAAAAGAACCCCAAACAACACATTTCCTGAAAGCACAGGACCAGTAGAATAAAAATAATTTTGTAGGTCCGGCAATATTTGTGCAAAGGTTTATCAAATCAATATTAAACCAATGAAAACACTAATTTAAGTGTGCTTTTATCAATATAATTGTGAATCGGTGCACACACAAAAAACTTTTCCGATTAAATCTAAAAGATAAAACTGTATGGAGTTAAAAGCAATTATTAGTACATTTTAAAAAATTGCGCCTTTTTGCGAAACAGTATAAACAAAGGAACGCAAAACTGTAAATAAGCAACTTATGCAAAAAATCGGTGTTGTGGTAACGCCTGATCTGCAGTGTCGCTTGTGCGCGCGTGTGTTGTGATAAAAAGATGGATGTATTTAATCGCAACACAGCATATCACAACGCACGTCAATGTGTCACAATGCTTTGCCATGCGCTGCCACACAGTTAAATGACGGTTATAACAAAAAATAGAGCTGCGGAAATTAACGATTAATTCCTCGATTAATCGTTAATTTTTTTGATCGATTAAAACATTTTTGATCGTTACTCACCTCTCCGATCCGTTACGCTGAACGTTATAACTGGAGGTGGATTGGGATTGCTTAGGGAACAGTACCACCTAGTGGGGACTCCTAATAGAGCCTGCTGCTTATTTCCCATGAGGTATACTGGACTATGCTATAAATGCCTGGAGATAACCATTGATGATTATTGCCTATACCCTATACTGTGGATTACTGAACTGTGTAATTACTACTAATTTAAAACTCCACTACCGATATTACTCACGATCTGTGTGTTGACTTCTGAACTGTGAGGTTACTACCTAGTGTTACTACCAAGTTTAACCAACTACATTAGCCTATACACATACAGCACAGCAATGAAGTAATAAAATGAACTAGGATCACACTAATCCAGCACGTTATTATTCTGAGTTGCCCCACTCAAGTGGCGGCCATATTGAGTGGGGCACATGAGATTAATAACGTGCTGGATTAGTGTGATCCTAGTTCATTTTATTACTTCATTGCTGTGCTGTATGTATATAGGCCAATGTAATTGGATCTGTATGTGCGTTATAATTAATCGATTAAAAAAAAAATTCGATTAAAATCGAACACGAAAATTTTACCAGCCCTAAAAAAATAAAATAATCAAGCACTGAAATGTGTACGGTGTACACCACAATATGGTGCACACCGGTGGGTGTTATCTTTTTTACTGGGGGGGGGGGAGGAATATCACGAGTCTAAACAGACCCCTGACATTTCCCTTTAGAAATAGAAAAAAAAGATTGAGTCCTTAATCTCTCTTTATGCAGCCCCAGCACTGAGGGGACTGGAATTTGAATGAATTAGCTGTAATCAGCAGCTTTTGACAGCTATTCATTTAAAAGGAGGTCGTCAAGAAAACCCTTCTAAGTTCATGGACACTAAAGCGACCATGAGCTTATAGCAGAAGAGTGAAAGCCACCGATGCAAGGCAAACTGAAGTGGCCAGCTAGAAACAGTTGTGTTTCGCCGTATACCTTAGGTCAGTGGCAAGGAATGGGTTTAAAAGGAAATTATTACCTATAAAAAGGAACAACTCTTGTTCCTGTCCTACATGAACAGTTATAAGTGCTAAAAAGAGCTGCTCTACTTCCTTTAGAATAGTTGTGTATGGGTCCCCCTAATACTGTTAAATAAGGTCAGTACAGTTCCAGTTTGGGGCATTCTGCATACATCAGCCAAGAAATAAAAAAAATAGTACATATGCAGCTCAAGAGGAGAAATACTAGACAATTGACAGGGTTTCTGGCTTACCTTCACAGATCATTGGTTCAATTGTAAATACATGACCTGGTTTTATCACGCCAACTGCTTTGTTTTCTACAAAAAAATAAAAAATACATAAAATCAAAAGCGGTTGTATAAATCACAAGGCAGAATATCAGAAAAAAAAAAAAAAAGTGTCTGATGGAATGACAAGTTAGTAATTGAGGCTTTTTTGTTAGCCTGAAATAAATACAACAGAACATGGGCTTTACTTCTGCCTGTGTTTCTACAGCAGATCAGCTATTGGTTTACTCCAATGGGTTTACTGTAGTTCACAATCATCTGAACATATACATATATACTGCTTATAGCTTTTAGTTTCTGATAAAGCAAGATGTTCACTTTAATTCAAAATGCATGACATTTATACTTGCCTTCTTTTCACTTCCGACAGTCGGTTTAGTCATCTAGATGCCAGAGCAGAGCCCTTTGTAAGAAACAAGGTCACCAGAGTCAATGCCAACACAGAATTATGAAATCCCTGTGGCAGCGCTGATTGGCCCATCACATGGATGGAGTTACATATGCTCCTCCATAACCAGAAAGAAAAAACAAGCATTTCCTCCGACTATCGGCAATGGTGGGGGAGCAAAGCAAAAGTAAGTATATGCTATGCTGCTGGGGATGGGAAGTTAAACCAAACCAGTTGTACCCTTGAACTTGGTCTTTATGCATAGTTTGCAAGCATGAAGCAATGGCCATGTTTGCTCATTACATAGCTCTAACATACATTCTCTATAAGAATTAGTAGTAGTTGATTTTCCCAGAATTTGTTTTGCAACAATGCCAGGAACCTAAAAACACACATACCAAATGAGTAGACTTTATAAAGAGAAAAAAAAAAATAATAGGATTTTTGTACTCACCTTAAAATCCTTTACTCTCCGTTCACTGAAGCACACAGGGCAACAGATCATAGATCCTGAAAGGTAGGGTATAGCGCCACCTGCAGGAGTAGGACGCTAGGCACATAACAAAAAGACCGACAGCCTAGGGGCGGCCCCTGCTGGTGGCCCAACCCCCCACCTGCTGACAAGTCTCCAGTTAGTAACAAGCAGTTAGGAGTGCATACCCAGAGAAAGAGGGCGGGGCCTGTATCCTTCAATGAACGGAGAGACATTTTTTTTACAGTGAGTAAAAAAATCCTATTTCTCTCCCGTTCATTGAAGGACACAGGGCAACAGATCGTAGATCCTGAAAAGGTAGGGACGTCACCAAGCAGTAACCCAATGAGGGATGGGCCAAACAACATCAAACAACCCAAAAAAGAACCACTCAAAGGGCCACCTGCAAAACCTTACGCCCCAAACCAGCATCTGCCGATGCCAAAACATCCACCTTGTAAAATTTGACAAAGGTGTGAACCGAAGACCAAGTAGCGGCCTTGCAAACCTGAGAAACAGACGCACCATGGCGAAAAGCCCAGGATGCGCCAACAGCCCTAGTAGAATGGGCAGCGACAGGAAAAGGGGGCTCCCGCCCCCTAACAGCATACGCCTGTATGACAACAGTCCGAATCCAACGGGAAACGGTAGCCGCCGACGCGGCCCTTACAAGGGCCACCAGTGAGGACTAACAAGGAATCCGTCTCACGGAAAGAAGCAGTAGCATCCAGATAAAACACGAAGAGCGCGCACCACATCCAGGCAATGCAGCGCCCGTTCCTTCCTGTGAACCGGCTTCGGGCACAAGGACGGCAAAACAATGTCCTCATTCAAGTGAAAAGCCGACACAACCTTAGGCAGGAAGGTCGGCCGAGGACGGAGAACCGCCTTGTCCCTATGAAGAACCAGAAACGGCGACTTGCAAGACAAGGCAGCCAATTCAGAAACCCTCCGAACCGAAGTGATGGCCACCAAAAAGGCCACCTTTTGGGACAAGGACAAGAGCGGAATTTCCCGAAGCGGCTTAAAAGGGAGATTCCTGCAGCAACGAAAGCACCAAATTCAGATCCCATGGTGCCAGAGGCGAGCGGACAGGGGGAGCAATACGCGCAACCCCCTGAATAAACGTACGAACAAAGGCGTTAGATGCCAAAGGACGGTGGAACAGAACCGTCAAGGCAGAGATCTGGCCCTTCACCGTGCTCAAGGCCAACCCCTGAGCCACTCCGCGCTGCAAAAAGGCAAGAAATCTGCAGATTGAAAACAAAGCGCGGAGAGAAGGCCCCAGCCTTCGGCCGCTATCCGACGCAGCAGCCGAGGCAACAGGTAAAGCGGAGGGAAGGCATATATCAGACTGTAGGGCTCCCAAGGAGCCACCAGGGCATCTACCGCGTCTGCCCAGGGATCCAGAGCCCGGGCCACGACCCTCTCCACCTTCCGGCTGAGACGAGACGCCAGAAGGTCCAAATCCTGCGTCCCCCAGTGAAGGCACAGCTGATGAAAGATGTCCGGGTGCCGGGACCACTCTCCCGGGTCCACAGACTGGCGACCGAGGTAGTCTGCCTGCCAATTGTCCACTCCCAGGATGTAAACCGCCGATAGCGCAAGGACCCGCCCAAGACAGGATCCCGGACACCTCCCGACCTGCGGACATGCTTTTTGTGCCGCCCTAATGGTTGATGTACGCCACCGCCGTGGCGTTGTCGGATTGAACCCGAACCGACAGACCCCGAAGCCGGACCGACCAGTGGAGAAGGGACAGTCGAATCGCCCAAAGTTCCAACACATTGATTGGCAGACGGAACTCGTCCGGCGACCATCGACCCTGTACCGTCAGGGAGCCCAAGACTGCCCCCCCCCCCACCCCCACAGGCT